GACAAGCCAAGTTATTTTGCGGAAGAATCGTTTACATTTATCTCCCAGAAAACCTAACGAAAACCTCGGACGCTTCCAGGAATGGAGATGTCAAGTGTACTTCAGAGAAATCCTTTAACTTGTCGCGACGCTCTGTGCAGCTGCGGGCGCTGACCTCCACACCTGCTGTTGTTACACGGGGCTCAGAGAGCCGTTCCTACTTCAAAAGGGATCAGCTCCATGACGCATTGAAAAAATGTTTCACATGGCAAGCAGCAGCACCAAGAAATTATCACCTCATAACGAGGACAGGGACGACAGCTGTTATTTATAAAACATGAAATTATGCACTCCCTCTTTGTGTCCGCTACTCGTGACGGCTGTTTAATCGGCTAATGTGTTCGAACAGGTTTTTATAATGACAACCATATCTGCCTGCCAGAAGATAGCGGCTCCCTTTCTTTAAATAATTGGAACAAAATTCTGCGGCTCAGAAGTTTAATTACATCAACCATTAAGGTGATGCCCAAGATAACAGTGTTGGGAGCTGAAAAAACTACAATTCCGGTTTCGATGTGAAATGTCTGAAAATGTAATTCATTGCATTTAAATGTTAGAAACCTAATGCTTTAAAAACAGAAAATTAGACGGCAGACACTTGACAAGCTGTAATGTAAGCGGGTTTGATTTATTCCATGAGCAAGATCGATGCTTGATGAGTTCAGAGTCCTCTGCGTTACGAATTCTATTTAGAATGATCTAGAATTGGTAGAATTGGAATTCTGTTTACTACGAATAGGAAGTACAGTACAGTTAAATAACTAATTTTGCCATTAACAAATAAATGTGTGATCAATTTCTTTTTCAGAATTGACGCCCTCGCGGAAAAGTGGATTAAATGAAGTCTGTCAAACATAACTAAAAGACCTAGCATCGGTTATTAACACCAGTTCAGTCGGTGACCGATGAAACAACGCCAAGGGGCTAATTGCTCAAAGAGGAGAGACCCCAGGTCTGAAGAGCAGAGCCTTAGAGATAGATAGGGTAGTGAAAAGCACTGAGTTAGGGCCATTTGTGGTGTGACATCCTAAATCCTATGACAGAAGACCAGAAAATAAAATGCTGTAACATTTTATGTACATAAATCACTTAGATTTGTTGCTGAAGCTGATTTTGTCATGTCTTTCAAATCATAGCTAAGATCTTAAATCAGTACATTCCTAACAACTAAACAAAGACAATGATCAAGTAACTCCGTTTTCTTTGCAGATTTTGTATGTCCCTGAGAGGTTAATAAGCCCTCACTCTCACTGATCTGCAAAGGGCAACATACTTGGGTTCACGTGGGTTTTCTGTGGGAGCTCCAGTTTCAACCCACTGTCCAAAAACCTACCGGTGTTTGTGTGTGTGCCCTGAGATGGACTGGTGTCTCATCCAGGATGTATCTCCTCTTGCGCCCATTGCTTGCTGGGCTTGGCCCCTGCCCTCCCATGATCCTGTGCTGGATAAACCAGTTAGAAAAAGGAAGGATGGATGGAGCTTCATAAATGAGAGCTTATGCAACATAAGTTGAATAAGCTCTCTTTCTGTGTAGGAACTTAAGCAAATAAAGCTGCTACTGGAAAAACAATGGTCTGAGAAAGGAACAGGGGTTAAAGAGGGTGAGGAGCATTTCTATTTTAGTCAAGTTTATTGGATATCTAGGGCTAACCAGGAACTTTCATCATCATAATTCCTTACACTTAAATAGTGCTTTTCTGGACAGTCCTTTGAAAGCATTTTACATGTTATCGGGGCTCCTCTCACCCACCACCAATGTGTAACCCCACCTGGATGATGTGAAAGCAGCCAAAGTGCACCAGTACACTCACCACACACCAGCTATCAGTGCGGAGAAGAACAGAGTAATGAAGGCAATTCAGATGGGGATGATTAATCCATGATTTTTACTGTCCATCAAAACGGAAGGTCGGCACCTTTTTACAGTATAGTGTCCCCATCACTATACTGGGGCATCAGGACCCACACCGACTGCAGGTGCCTCCAGCAGTAACCTTAGTTTTTCCCAGAAGGTCTGCCATCCAGGTACTGACCAGCCTCACACCTGCTGAGCTTCAGTGGGCTGCCAGTGGTGAGCTGCAGGGCGATATAGCTGCTAGACTGTAGAGAACATAGACAGAACCTTTGGTACAGTACATCCGTTATCCAGATGTGTACTCATGACAGCGCTCCTGCTCAGCATGTATGAGGAATGGCAGGAGTCTAAGTCCACGTGGTGGAATGACACTGTCACATGCTTGTATTGTCGAGGTTGTACCTCCTCATTTGGCTGGAAGAGGAAAGAGATTATGTTCTGGTGTGGAACTTGCCCGAAGGCCACAGGATTTCTAAGTATTCCCACCTTCAGAATTTCAAGCATGAAAAAACATGCTACTGGTCTCACTTGAATGAAATACACAATAGACTTATCAGCATTCTCTTTTAAACAAATTATTTTTAAGAATTGTATGAGTGTGTAGTTTACATGGAATTTTGATCTTACATATTTTTTTGCTATTTAGTGACAGAGATTGCAAATCGTATTACGCCTACTATGGCAAAAGAAACAGCAACATGAAATGAATGTTTCTGAAAGGATTATTTTACATACTTTCAGGATAGTTCATATTGTGAGTTATTTTATTCACATCTTCCTGTTTGCCTGTTTCTCTTACACTCAAACTAACACATTCAGCTATTACATTTGAATAATTTACAGGAACTTCGATACTTTCAATACATTTATGTGAGCTTGTTCACGTCCCTGATGGCCTTTCTTTCTCGGGTGGCTACAGTGTGAAAATCTGTGAAAGTTTTTTTCAGTAAAGTGCACTTGACGTTTCACTTTTCCCGATGTTCATTTTCGGATACACTCCCAGCTCACCTCCTTCAGATTTTTAACTCCGCTGATTTTTAAATTCCTCAATAAACCGTAGCGTAATAAAACACTGCTGTGGCATGAGACTTCAGAAAAGCACAGTTGCACGTAATCATGTTTCTGATGTGGGATAAACGACATGAATTTACGCATCAGTGGATAGGGTTTGAGAGAGAACAACGGGGAAGCCCTAACTACCCAAAACCTTCACCAGAAACCGTAAAAGTGGAAAACTCCTTGTTCTTTTTCAGGTTCTTAAAAAAGCTATCCTGCATCGGTACATTTGCCGTGTCCAGCAAGGGAAAACAAGGCACACATTTGCGTTTCAGACTGGTCACCAGAAAAGTGCGTCTGTCCGACCCTGGAACTGGATTCTAACATTGTTTCGGTGGGTCCTGTCCGTTACGTAATTGAACTTTTAGTTTAGAGATCAATCTTTCATGGCAAAGTGCTGTGTCGTGAAAAGAAGATGCAGAATACTTTACCTTAACTTACCTTTTAAAATGGACCAATTTGGGTTTATTTGAGTTACTAATAATGTTTTATACGTGATTTGTAATCTTCGGAATCGGTCGTTCAGTTAAATGTTCAAACGTAGTAGAAGTCGAAATTAGAAGAAAGAAAGGACCAGGAAATGGTGTTAGGAGGCCCCGTGTTGAGCTCCAGATGAGGGTGAGACTGCAGCCTGTGCGCTTTCAAAGCCTTTTTAATGATCCAGGCGACTTAATTTAGAGTCACTCACCAGTACAGTACATTAGTTTGACAGAACTCCCGTGTTTAATGTACAAAGGTCGTTAACACCTATAGTTTACAGTACATTAACTTGCTGTCAGATACCGCTGCAAATCAGTGGACACACAGACCTGGGCTTTCTACACCCTGGTCCTGCACGACCGCTCTCTAAGCTCTCAGTCGCTCAGACTTTACCTTAGTTTGTTGAACCATATCGATGACAATCATTTTTAATTGGAACGTGTTTCCAAAATGGTCTAAATTGGCAAGGGCACATTTTATTTAGAATATGATGGCACATAGTTGATTGAAAGTTCCGCTGGAACGAAAACCTGCGCATCTGTACACCAAGACCTTGCGAAACTTAGTGATGTACTCCAGAGACAGACAGCCAGGAAGTTAGTATTGAATTCCAGCGCAGGTCTGCATTTCAGTTAGGATGCTAAACGTTAAAGCAATTTTCTATTGATTAAGTCTAAGTCAGGGTTTTGCTAAATAAAGATCGGTTTATTTTATTCATTTCTTATATATAAAGAAACGCCGGCGTCTTAGTCAGCACCGTAAACGTCTCGCTGAGCATAGTGGTTCATGTTCCAAGGCTGAATAGAAAAGACCTGTCGACAGCACAATTACAATAATGCGCTCCTATCGACACGGCTCCGTTGGTCCGCTTTTATCCTTACGATGCTTATCTCTCATGAAGCACTTAAAATATCTAGATCTGTTCACAGAACCACAAACATGTCATAACGGTTTTTCCAATTATTTCAAGTATTATTATTGTTGTCGTTGTTGTTGACAGTTTACCAATATTCTTTGCTTAAAAAGTATACGGATGCTCTTATGGTTTATGACTGAATTGATTTTATTCTTCTTTCTGAACTACAAGATATACGACGAGAGAGTTCTGCGAATTATACACCTTTTTCAGTGAAGACCACGACTCTATGTATGAACTTTATTGAGGTCTGCACACAAGACTGTCGAGAAGAATTACTTTTCTGCCGACTCAAATGTATTCAGTCATGTGGGAAACTTTTTTTCTTTCGTATATAGCGGCCTAATTGTAATAGTTGTCATTGTTGCTATGAAATGAAACAGTACACCGTGTATATTGGGAGTCGACAAAGGAGCTTGAATCTTAAATCCACTCGCAGAACAAAATCAATACTGCAGCAGAGCACACTACAGCGCCCCTGGTTACGCGATTCACACTTAACAGATTATGAACTGGCTGCTCGGCGCGGCGCTTAATTAAAACAAGTGTTTTAAGGGCTTTTCGCAGAAAGGTGGATCTAAGGGCGGAGCTGAGGCTAGCAGGCAACCAATCAGCCTGGGGCTCTGCTATGTTGGCAGGAGAGTTAATACAGACTTGAAAGTTTTGACACTTTGGCTGTTGATTGGACTAGGACGAATCTTTCTGCAATTAAGTCACACTCAGTAACAGAAGAGAGAGTTTGCCAAATCAATCTTTCTCCCGATTATTATTATTATTTTTTTTTGTACGAGCTGGCCTTTTAGATGAAGGCGCATGCTTTTATTCCAGTCCATAGGGTCTGCTAGTAGCAGTCTGCAGTTTGATCAGAACTTTAAAGAGGCAAAGTAGTGTCTTAAAGTCCATCAATGGCGCAAAGAGGCAATCCATTCTCTATCCATGACATCCTAACCCGAGGACCCGATAAGCGCGTTGCCGATGCCGTGGTTCTGGAAGCGCCGCCGCTCGGCGCGTTGGCTAGCGCTGGCGCGCAGGGGGAAGCTGCCGCCGGCACCCGAAGATGCTCGGATTCCTTCCTCTCGGATTACAGCGGGCGGCACGTCGGGAACAGCAGGGGAGACAGCCGAGGCGCGGTGGAAAGCTCTGGGATCCCGCCGAGCCCGTGCGCGGAAAGCGCGTCTCAGTTAGACCCGCAGTCCTGTGGCGAGGAGTGGACAGGGGAAGAGCCTGTGTATTCGGACTGTCATCAATACAAAGGTAGGAGCCACATGCATTTCTGGGGATTGAGTCCAAAAGTATGCCGCAGTATTTCAGGACTAACTGTTGTATTGCAGTGGACGCCCTTCTTGTTTATGATAGGGGTGTTAATAGAAAGAAACGACAAAACTGTCGTTTTGTTTTCTTTTCCAAACGGGTAAATTCAGTTAAAGGTGTATTTTTCCTCAACAAATCTTCTTGGATTCAGAATAATCGAATGCATCATACAAAAACTATAAAACAGACGTTTTACAGTGTCTCAAAAAGAGAAGTTCGAGGAACATTAAAGACATTCATTGGGCTCAGTCCGATTTCATTCTCTCACGTTTTCATGACTTTCAAAATGAGAATTGAAATGCTACTTTTGTTTTATTTTAATTTTTATCATTCTTTAAGTCCTGGTGAGTGAAGGCCTCTAAAATTCACATCCTGCTTAAAGCATACTTGAGGCCTTGACCATAATTCACCCTTCCACGCCCTTTTACAAACCATTGTAGTATTACAACCCATTGCCAGAGAACACTGGCCCTTTTTTATGGAGTTAACAAAACAGTCAATTTGATTCCTTTGGTACAAGTGGCAGAACACAATAAATACCAGAGCTTTTAAGCAATTGAATTGAACAGTAACTAAATACCCGGGAGACTATATTTAAAAGTATGACAGTTCATACATGTTTTATGTTTATAGTTGAAACACTGCGGAGCTTTGACAGAAGTGGAATTTTATAATGGCATAAACAAGATTCTAAATGCTTAGGGAGTTATCACTTGAGAGATGAATTGTGAAAACATGACAAAGTGGTTTGGCCAAACCTATGAAATAATCGCAAAGTATTTGTTTTTGATATTACAGAACACCAGGAGCACTCCGCCGTGTCAGAGGGTCAGGACAAGTCAGAGACCCGAGGCGCGGGCCAAGCCCAGCCCGGCAAGAAGCGCTCGCGGGCCGCCTTCTCCCACGCGCAGGTTTACGAGCTGGAGAGGCGCTTCAGTCTCCAGCGGTACCTGTCCGGCCCAGAACGGGCAGACCTGGCGGGGGCTCTGAAACTCACAGAAACCCAGGTGAAGATCTGGTTCCAGAACAGGAGGTACAAAACGAAACGGCGCCAAATGGCGGCTGAGCTGGCCGCCAGCTCCACACCGACAGCGGCCAGGAAAGTTGCGGTGAAAGTTTTGGTAAAAAATGACCAGCGACAGTACAGGGCTGAGGATCTGCTCTTTCCACCTGTCATCCAACTATACCAGTCCTACCAATATTACCCTTACATGTACTGCTTCCAGCCGTGGGTGTCGAACACTTCCCTGTGCGGAGGAACGCTTTAAAATAATTCCTGTTGCTGCAGACGATGGACAGACGTTTCAGTGAACCCTGCGGTACTAACACACAAGAAATCTTCAGAACATCATCCTCCATCACTCGCTTTCTATTGCAAGTGAAATGCGTTGTGATATCCAACCAGACGTCAGATTCACGATGGAGAAGCTTTATGCTTCAGTCCGCTGACTTGAGCAGACTTTTAGGTTTTAGAGTGCGTTTGAACATTTTTGGGACATAGTAGCCCTAATTCAAAATGCATAAAAAAGTTTTATTGTCCGAGCTTTGTGGTAGTTTATCTACTGACTGGTTAAATGGTAACTAACGATTTATTTAAAAGGAGCTTTGTAATACACTTGGTCATAATAAGGATAAAGTTCCGTGAGCTGTTTCTCGTAGTTCTGCATAGAATGGATAAAAAAGTACCTCATGACTTTTGTTTCCTATACTCTCTGGAGACACCAAATTAAGGACTCGAATTACTTTTTAAACGACTTGTTTTGCCCAATCAACCATCCCGAAGGAATATTTGCACTTCAGTAAGTATAAAAGAGCAATATGTAAGTGATTTTCTAACACTCTAACTTTGCACAGCAAGATCTTAAAATTAATTGAACGTTTTGTATATAGTCTATGACTATCGGTCTGACTATTCTGTGACCAGTTTCTATATTTTTCATTAAAGAGAAATAAAAACAAATCTAACAAAGAAATCAAAACTGAGCACAAAGATCAAACTGATCCATGCCTACATTACGTTTGCTGTGATTTTGGTAAAAATGTCTTGATTATAATAAAAACGTCTTAGATAAATTATATTTCAATAAACCTCTCAATCGTGAGCATTTTATATTGCAGAGCGAAACCAAGAGTAAATGCTAAAAGATTATTTCTCGGAAATTGATTACCAGTTTAAAATATAGGTCCAACAGCTTGTTTGTTTCTTTGGGTTTCGAATGATAAAAGTCGTTTCTGTGCTATAGGTGCCAATAGATTAACATAATCGATAGCTCAAACACCATCTGAGATATTTACAGAAGTATAAATGAATGTTCCGCGAGGGGTCGTTCGAACTATTTGTATTATTTTTTAAAATAATTTTAATAATTATATTTTATTTTTTATAGTATATTATAGTCTATATTATATAGAATAGACTATAGTCTATATAGACTAATTTAATATATATACAAATATAGTCTATATTATATTTAATAGGCACTAAGAATTTATCAGATTTAAGATAATATTGTGTATGCAGTTCATGGAATTTTCTTGAAAGAATGGCTACTAATGTCTCGGGATGCTTTACCCGGACAGTTCTTTAATCGCTATTGGTGATTAAATTTACACATTTTGAACACCGATATAAAAAAGAGCGTTAGGGTTAAAATGAGTGTTGTATAATTCGATATCTATATTTCTAATTAAAGGTTTATTGACAAAAATAAACAGGTGGGTAAAAAAATCACCTAATAATTCCCGATGTGCTCACACGTTTACTTTTCCTGAAACAATCGTTGAATGATATACAGTATATGCCAGTTCTGTACCTGGCGTGGGTGAGCACAGGGAAGTACGCTCAGACTGATGTGTCTTAGAAAGGCCGCCCCTTCCCACTCAGTTCAGGCCTTGGCTGGTGTGCGAGCGAGCCTGTGAGCTGTCTGTTTATTTGTCCTGGACGACAGGCCCTGGGGTCGGTCGCTCCTGAGGTGGGTTTCATTCTCCCACGTGATCTGTCTGTCACTGGACTTCCAGGTGTGAAATGCCTTAGTTTGGAAAAAATATATAGATTTTGGAAAGGATGTGAGGATTACAGCGTTGTGTTTGGGTAGTAAAACAGATTCCTTGCAAAGCCGTCTGAATTATTCCCACAAAAGGGCTTCAAATAAGTCGGCATTGGTGATGGTTACAATTAGACTAAAAATACACTTAGGGCATGTCAACAGGGTATATGTCGATTAACGATTCATGCAGGTTATCGTGTGTTGACGAACTAAACTCTGGTGCAGATAAAGAGTTTTAAAATAGTTTGGTAAATAATCATTATACACATAAGACTTTCAAGATGCCGTACGAAGCTTTATATTAACTCACATACCGTACGTATTTATATGAAACTTTAAGACGTGTCTTTTTGTTATTCTGAAAACCAGGCATAAACATCTGCATTGTAGATGTTTTATGGGTGTTTTTATTACTGAACAAAACACATCCTACACGATTTGCAGACCGAGCGCAGTTGATTAATTTGTCTTTTTTTCTCCCAAGTCTGTCGACGTCTTTTATGTTACATTATTTATTTTCCAAAAGGCAACAGACCCGTGAGGGCCAGTGTTATAGGCAGCAGAAGCACGTTCTGCAGGGGGGATGACAGACTGAGTATTATTTTAGTATCGAAGCGGTGCTAAATAAAAATAAATACAGTTCGTACTCCACAAGCTATTGAGAAAAAAGAGTGCTGATGCGAATTCCAGTATTTCGGTGTTTTTTTTAATACAGGCTGAGTGTTTTAAAGTATAATCAATTGATTAGAGACTTCGAAGGCTCAACCGTAGGCACTGGCTTACGGCTCTGGGGTCCCGGGTTCGAGTGCCAACCCGTCTCTGTGGAGTTCGCATGTTCTCCTCGAGGTCGAGTGGGCGTATTGCGCTTTCCTCTCCCAGGAATCGACGTAAACCAGAGCAGACAACTCCCTGCTTCAGTCATGGTTTCAAATCCAAGTTAATTAATTCCAAGTTCACGCAACGCCACAGATCGTAAGAATTGGCCGAAATAGGAATGAGTTTGGGGTTGGGGTAGAAGTACATATGTTTACAATGCAATATTTTTAAAAATTAAAGCCTCGACAAGCATATAAATTACGGAAATATGTATATTGTTGGATGACGGTCTCAAAAAGGCTGATGGATATACCGAGGTAGCGTATAGGCCTACTTCAAATAGAAGAAACTATTAATATTTTACTAGATTTATTTTTTTTATTTCAAATTTTAAGTACAGGTTTTCGTTGCCTACCTCAAATCCAATAACTTCCATTCTTTGACCAAATATCACTAAAAAGATTAATCTTTGTAGTGGGACTGGTGTTGTAGAGGAAATTCATTGTACTGTGATGTACACATTTTCTGCTCCAACATTTGGATTTTATGCACATTACCTCGTGTTAGCGTTTTTGTATGCTGTGTCATTTTAAATGTTTTTAGTGTGTCATGCAACCATTTCCCTGTATTATTTTTAATACAGCTATCTAATATCTGGAAGACATATTGGCATGTATTGCAGGTAAGCGCTGATCACAACCTAGAACCTATACCGGAGGCACAGTGACCAACGCGGGACTTAAAAAAAAACACTTCTGGTAATTGATTATGATTCTCTTCCATACCAAATTAATAAAAATGAAAAAAGAAAAAAGAAATTAAAATATATTTAAGTTACCTTGTATATGCATTAGGTTCAGATGAAACTTGACCTACACGACAGGGTCAATCAATTGATTCGCTCTTCGGTGCCTCTTCAAAGTGAAGTGACATTTCAACGAAGGAGCTCGATTAGTCTCCGAAATCGGCCTGGTCAAAACATGAATGGCAATACAGTACAGTACTACTTGAACTCTGTTCTGTTCATCGGGGTCTCTGTTTGGAAAAAAACTGACAACAGTAAAGGTGAAAAATAACATTATGTACACTGCGCCGCGATTCGCGTGGAAGGTTTTGCAGCATTGAAATGATTAAAAAAGGCACACAGGACGAGAGCATTTAGAACATTTGCTTCACGATTTATGACAAACAGGATAAACCGTCAAGGCATCGACGCAAAGGGTTCATTGATTACTACAAAATAACTACGCATTTTGATTGTGATGAAATAGTGTCAGTGCTTGAAGGAGATTTATAATAACGATTTAAGGCTCGTCTTTGTCTTCAAAGCGTTGAACTATTTCAATATAGATCGGTGTTGACCATTAATTTCTTTCTCTGGCAGAGATAAAAAAAAGTGTTGCACTCACTCCACCCTCCTGTTTTAATCGCAATCAGAAATATTGATACATGGTTAACCTACAGTTCGTGTTGTTTATAACAATGTCGTTTATGGAGTCGTGTGGGCTAGATCTTCGAAGAGCAGAAAAAACAATGAACGCTGCTATTAATAATGAGCAGCGGATTGTGAAATCGCATTTTCATGGCTCACATCAATATCAGTTTTTGTTCATCGTTACACATAGTTCAGTTAGAAGTAAGTGTTCTATACTTCTAGATCAGTCTGAAAACAACCTGTTATTACATTTGATTTAATAAGTACAACTGAACTAATTTGCAGATAAAACTTTCTTGCTGAGCAAGCCCCAGCGGCCAGGATACAATGAGCTGCTGTAGATCTCGACTCACCTCCTATACATTCTGATTTGTTTCCATTTTCTCATGGTCTTTCTCACTGTCCTCGGGACACTTTCAACGAAAATACTCTTCTCGTCGTTTCCTCTTTGCATTCGTGTTTAACGGGATGCAATGCATTCTAGCTTACGGCGTTAAATAACCATTTTCGTTATTCGTTAAAGCATTCATTCGTCACCCACAATGCTTTTTAGAGAAATGTATGCAATTTCCTTCTTTACACACATGAGAACTTTATTAACTAGATTGACGTAATAAACCTTTATTTCGCCAGATAAGTCAATTAAAGACACCATTATCGAAAATGACCAAGTGACGCATTTACACAACAGGGTGCTCTTTATGCAAGCCCTACGAGCTGAGTACCGTAAAGATTATAATTACCCTTTGTTTTCACCCAGGATTCGAGCCCACAATCTTTTAACTACAACCGCAAATCACTAGTTATTGCGCCACGTAAGAGACATTTAAAGAAAATCTACTGAAAACATTTAACATTCTGATTGGCACGATTCATTTAAACTAGAGCGCAGTGTCACACGATAATACGTAAATTAAGAGCATTAAAACTTGGATTGAGTTGAATAATAATTGTGATTTCGTTTTCAAATAAGATGAGGAACCAAATATTTATTTTGCATCCCGATTTAGATATTCGTTCGGCACTTCTTCCGCTAGAGAAGACACCCTGTTGATTTTAGTTCCGAAATGTCGTTCTTCTGTATAATGTTGTAATATAAAATTTCAACGTCTGTGTAGAATTTTGTAATATAAAATGGACGCATTGATGTGTTATTACTATTTATAATGGTACTACGACGTTTCTCCATCATCGCTGTATTTTATCATCTTCACGACTGAACAAAACAATTCAGATCAATGTCTCAAGCGGAAACTACGGTTAGTCGTATAGTCGAATAATCAAGTCCTATTAATGCACTGCACTTCATAAAGTATTCTTTTTATTGAAATGACAGCTGAACACTCAGGCAACTGACTAAACGTTTGGTTTGGGTAACTTGAAATACTCGTTTTT